AAAAAAAAAAAAAAAAAAAAAATCAATTCAAGCATACCGTTAGATTTGAGCATAATGACCACATCTGTCAAAGAGACTCTAAATTCTAAATAAACTGCTTAACAATGAAGCGCAGTCATCTTTATTATCATGCTTCTCACCATCTGGAAACTAAGATGCAAATGCAAAGAAAGCTAACCGCTAAGTTTAATTAAGCAGAGGTTGCAACACACTGTTTGTTTGGAAACACAAAGTCTTTATTGAATTGCTAAGTTTAAAATCAAGAAAAAGGTCTCAGCAATTACTTACATTTACTTATACTGACATTTCAAAGTCATTTCAGACCAAACTACATAAATACTTACACTTCTTACTCGCTTGTCTGCTTTCTGTTTCAGTTGCTCTATCTATAAATGATTATAAACAGAAATTTAGGCAATGTTTAGTTTAAGAGGACTTGTGTATTCAACACAAAATGAAGTCAGCTATTGAAACCATTCAGCAAACACAAAAAATATCATTAGCATTTAAAACCACTCACAAAAGCGTAACTTTTTAGTCTATCAAAAATGGGAGAATGTTTGACAGAATTCCTGTTTCTTCAGTATGTGCATTACTAGTCACTCTATTTTGATTCTTTAAAAAGCTGGTACATTACTGCAAAGGAAAGCAGGCAATTGGGTAGTGGGGGGGGATTAACTTGAGGTATCACTGAAGATCAATTACCGTCAAACTGTATTGATGACAGCCATCTCTTACTGGCCAGTCCAGGCCATCTCCCTCAGGAATCCCAGACCATGTAAACACTTGCTTGAAGTTCTTCCATTTTCTTCCCATGTCATAGGGAAAAAAGGAAAGGTGAAACTGAGTCTTTAACAGAAGGTTTGCACAGGGGTTGTGTGACACATCATCAAAACTCAAGAAATCCATGAGCTTGATGCTGTGTGTCTGCACAACTGCAAAACTCTCCCTAAGCAGACTGGCATTTATAGAAGAGACAGCGTCCCATCTAAGAGAGTAGATTCAAGTGCTGCAGTAATTCAGCATTTCATATATACTGTCAAATAATTTTGTATGCCTACTAGCTCTGTTTAAACCAAGGAAACAAAGCAATACATGTATTATCAAGTTGATAAATAAAGTGATCTGATTTCCCCTGTGTGACCCAGCATTCAGCTTTAGTAGAAGGTTAGTCATACATAAATGCATTTAATGCATATAGCCCTGGTGCTGTCAATATGCTGACTTCAGTACAGAAGTATCTACACCTGCCTAACCACTACAGTCATTACAGGCACACAAGTGCGCTCACCTCCCCAGAGCTGCACCATTTTCATTGTATTCATATAAAACACATATCCACATATAGCAACAAAAAACATTAATGATGTATAAAAAGCTATCATTCTGAGTCTAGTTGGAGGCTGGTGACAAGTGGTGTCCCTCAGGGGTCAGTACTGGGCCCAGTCTTGTTTAACTTCTTCATCAACGACCTGGATGAAGAGTTAGAATGTACCCTCAGCAAGTTTGCTGACGACACCAAACTGGGAGGTGTGGTAGATACACCGGAAGGCTGTGCTGCCATTCAGCGTGACCTGGATAGGCTGGGGAGGTGGGCAGAGAGGAACCTGATGAGGTTCAACAAGGGCAAGTGCAGGGTCCTGCACCTGGGGAGGAACAACCTCATGCACCAGTACAGGCTTGGGGTGGACCTGCTGGAGAGCAGCTCTGCGGAGGGGGGCCTGGGTGTCCTGGTGGACGACAGGTTAACTATGAGCCAGCAGTGTGTCCTGGCTGCCAAGAAGGCCAATGGGATCCTGGGGTGCATCAAGAAGAGTGTGGCCAGCAGGACGAGGGAGGTTCTCCTTCCCCTCTACACTGCCCTGGTGAGGCCTCATCTGGAGTACTGTGTCCAGTTCTGGGCTCCCCAGTTGAAGAAGGATGAAGAGCTACTGGAGAGAGTCCAGCGGGGGGCTACGAGGATGGTGAGGGGACTGGAGCATCTCCCCTACGAGGAGAGGTTGAGGGAACTGGGCTTGTTCAGCCTGAAGAAGAGAAGGCTGCGAGGGGACCTTATAAATGCCTACAAATATCTGAAGGGTGGGTGTCAGGAGGATGGGGCCAAGCTCTTTTCAGTAGTGCCCAGTGACAGGACAAGGGGCAATGGGCACAAACTGAGGCACAGGAAGTTCCGTCTGAACACGAGGAAGAACTTCTTCCCTCTGAGGGTGACGGAGCACTGGAACAGGCTGCCCAGGGAGGTTGTGGAGTTTCCTTCTCTGGAGATATTCAAGACCCGCCTGGACAAGGTCCTGTGCAGCCTGCTGTAGGTGACCCTGCTTCAGCAGAATGATTGGACTAGATGACCCACAGAGGTCCCTTCCAACCCCTATCATTCTGTGATTCTGTAAGCTAGATTCCATGCAAAGAGAAGGCATTACAGTACTTAGGTACTTATACACAGTCAAGATCCTCATGCTAATTTTGACACAGAATAAAAGACAGACAAAAAGACAGCAATGAAATGCTTGTGGATTTATACAAAATAACCTCGTAGCACTGAACTAATCTCTAAACACTGACTCGCTTTTGCTTCCTCTTAACTTAGCTTCTGCTGCTTGGCTATATTTCTTCTGAAAAATCTTGTGAAAACCTCTATAAAGATATGGAAATCAAAGAGAAATTCAAAGGAGAGAAGACTAGCTATCTCACTACTTTCTAGTACTTGTTCAAAATCAAGGAAAAGCCTCCCGAGGTTAATCAGTGAAGTAGGAAATGAGGAGAATCATGAGCCAAAACACACCACCTAGAATGGGTAGAGGAGTTAAGACGATTAAAGACACAGGAAGGCATAAGGAGAAACAAAGACAACTGAAGTTTCAGTCCAAAACACCCACACATTCTAAGTAGATAAGCAAAGTCTCTTAAAAGCAAGTATTTTTCTACGATGAAAAGAGAAATATATGCAGTTAAAGTATTTCTCATCCATTTCAGTGAATTTCAGAGACGGTAAGAGAAAGCTGGTTGGAGGTGTTCAGTCTGTGGTGAATTGAAATTACATCTTTGGTTTAAAAGCAGACAGGTGAAACAACAAATTGATAAATATGGAGAATGAACTTTGTAACACCACAGTACAAGAACACTATAATAAAAGCTTACCTTTTCTTCAATCCAGGACTCGATTGAAGTTTTATTTGTCAAAATGACTTTCATCTAAAATATAAGTGTTAGGTGAAATTAGTGCTGATTTTCTGCATAAATACATCAGCTAGGCAAAGAAAACTTCATTTAACAAACTAAATTTGCTTTAAGCAAGAAAGCAACTTTTACAGGCTTAGCTGAAACACATAAAGCATTAAAAACTAAGATTCAGCATAGATATAGGCTAATGCTATCCTCCAGAATTATACACTTAGACAGTATCACACAGTACTTCAGTTTATGATTAAAACACATATTTTGTTTCCTAGTTCCAAAGATCTCAAACATTTGAAAGAATATATCAGGCATTTTTATACCTCTTTTCAGGAACAGAGGCATGTACTCCTGAGATATTAGGTATTTTGCCTTTTCCAGAGAGTTTACAAATCCCCTCTCATGTTTTTTTAGTTCATTAGATTTTCACCTCCAAGTTCTCCCATGAGAAAAAAAAAAATGTGGTAGCAACAGAGAATTAGGACAAAACAACATAAAATCCTGGAAAAGTTACACAGCAACATAATCTCTAAACAACTGCTCCTATCTCAATTCTGAATTCTGTTTGTGCTCCACCACCAGGCAAAACTTACAGATTTTAACTTCTTTGTAACAGAAGCCATAAACTTACCTGGATAATAAACAGCATACCAACAGCAATAGTTGTTCCTAATGCCAGTCCTAAGGCAAATAAAGATGCAGCAAATGCAGACAGTCCAAAAGGAATAATGGGTCGAGGGTCTCTCTTGGCTGCACTCATGTCAATCTTTACAGAACTCCACCCAAAAGATATCTGCAAAGGGAAAATATCATCATTCAGCTCTAGAACCTTCCAACTGCTGACACAAAACAAATTACCAATAAGAAATCTGGCTCTGAAGATACGTGTCCAACTTCTGAGCACTTTATAATGCAAGTGGAATAGTTTGTTTTTTTAAAAAAATGACGTGTATTCAAGATTTGCTCTTCAGAAATACATTCTTTGCTAGGTATATAGGCCTTCTCTACATGGAAAGCTAAACCAGAATTGCCATCTTGCAAGCTCCACAACAAGTTAGGCCTAAAATCTCCAAAAATATCTAGAATCAGGCACATAAACAAAAATGCATTCACCAGTTTCAGACAGAAAATGTTTGCGTAGCACAGTATCCACTGTCAATGGAAACACTGCAGGTTTTCCTCTGAATGCTTTAGCAGATAGCTGTTCTCAGCATTACTGCTCTGCAAATACAACACACGGCCTTCACCTGTTACATTCAGGTGATGTTTTCAAGCTCTTCATTGCAACCACAAAAGCTGAAATCAAAGCTCATAATCTTAACCATGGATCTGAGATAAGGGACATATTCCAGAACAAGCTTTGCTTGTTGCTGCTGCTGCTAAGTTTTCCCATTTAAAAAACAAATCCAAAATAGTTCATTTTTAGTTCAAAAAAAAATGAACATTTTTTCCCTTGAAGAAAGGGATGCAATTCTAAAAAAGTGGCAAGCAGAAGAAAATAAATAGCACCTATTTTCTGTGCCAGCCAAAACACAGCCTGTGTCTCTATACAAACTGCTACTCAGAAACTGTCTTTAGTCAATTCAAAGCTCTAGGAAATTCCCAGTGATTATGACAAGCAACAGGAAAAACACAAAAGAAAGAAAACAGAAATAACTTTCTCTGAATCATCCTCCAATTCATGACCATACTTCTCACAGGCAGAGAGCAGAACTGAGAGTACATGTTGAAAAAATAACAAGGAATTCCACATGCTGCTTCTCAGCAAACCAGCCAGCCTCATACTTCCAGAGATAAATTACCCATCTGACTTCAAAAGTATTTTAAGCATTTAGCTGTGTATTCTTACTCTGTTGTAAAGCTGAGTGTACATAGTCATAACAAATATGAAAGAAGCGTGAATGCATCCGAGTGGAGCTAAGAGAAGAAACAGAGTGAAAGATGCATGATTCTGGTATCCGCAACAGTTGTTGATCCAAGGACAATGATGATCCATCTTCATGACACATCTGTGAATAATAAGTATTGATTAATATAAAGGACATTTATGGTGTTTCTCTGAAAAGCTGAAAAAAAAAAAGACAACTAACTTTCTACTACTCAACCTCCATTCATTCATTTAAATCCACCAATTTCCAACAGATCAACACAGCCTGCTTTTCTTGCTATTCAAAATGATACTTCATGTTGTAAAGTGAAAGAAAGCAAAACAAAAAGTGCTCCCAGGTCCTACCCTCCCTAACAGTCCCTCTTCCTCTTTACTCCAACTTGCTAGTTGCTAATAAACACCATATTCCAGAGCCAGGAGACAGAGGCCTAGGATAGGAAGTGTAACAATTATCAACACAATGATTAAGCACTAATATTATTGTCAATTTTCTTAAATAAGCACACCAGGAAAATAAAGAAAGCATCAAATCCCCATGAAAGAACATATATATGCAGAAAGAACATATAAAGATACACAGGCAGAAGTGTGTTAATGCCTCCTTCTTTTCAGCAGTAGGTCCTCTGAAAGCTTCATCAACTGCTATGTGTTGACGTCACACAGCTGCTGTCCTTTTCAAAATCTATTTAACAAGAGTAAATACCTCAGAGACACTCTTGTATTCAATGCAAAGATGCTTATTTTTGTTTAGCTTACAGGTGCAAAAAAACAGCCAATAAAAGATTCATCTACATCCCAAATTCCATTGATTTCACTGAACAGGTGTAAAAGTCACTAATTATAATGTTGCAATTCACTGCACCAAACCTAAGCGATGAACAAAGGATTGAATCACACATATATCCAGCTCCTCTGAAAATAAAAATTAATTGGTTTGAAACTACTGACCTCATTATCTTCTAAGCTACTCCATTCCCAATAGGAAGGTCAGTTCCTGCCTTTCAAAGAATTAATTATTCTTTATTAGCACATGCTCAACCATCCCTGTACAAGTTCTTGAACATGTAATCATAATTATCGGCACAAATGTTTCTGAATTAGGCCCTAGATCTTGGCTAGGAACCTCCTCCCGTTCAGGTAGGCCATAAGAGGCGACTCCATTCATGCACTGAAACTTGCCATAGCAGAGCAGACTTTCAGCAGAAGCTTCAGATACCCACTTCACCGCAACAGGCTAGAAATACATGCAGAATGAGTTACTTTGGCTAGAGTCAAGGGGGCAGAAAAATCCTTAAAGCCTATCAGCAAACTGGTTTTGAGAATGTGCTGCAGTTCCTTCTGGTTTCTTTGACAAAAGATAAATTATTTAAAAAAGCTTGCTTTTGCAAAGACAATCATCAGGATCTGCTGCCATTTTCTACTCAGTCCTCAGTGTAAAGATTGGCACTGAAGGAAAGGAGTGTAATTTTAAATCTCAGGATGATGCAGCCAAATTGCAGCACTGCTCCACAATTTCAGTCTCTACTTCCTAAAAGCACACTGACTGCATATCTTGTGTTTACAGAAATAACAAATGAAAGTGTATGCTGCAATATCCTTTTACTATGTTTCCTAATAGTCCTTCAGAGGAGAACCTGCCCAATAAATGCAAGATAAATGCAACTATAGCCTGGACTGCAGACAGCTGAAGTGGCTTGGTTCTTTTTCCAAGCTGCACTAAATTCCAGTGCAGCTATTTATAATAAAGCATCCTTTAGCTCAAAATGTCTGTTGGAAGACCAACACATAACACAGCACAAACTTTTTAAACTGACCCAAAAGGCGTATTATTAGTTCACTTAACACGCAGACTCCCCTCAAAAACAAACCCTTAGCAAACAGCAAAAACAGTCCAAAATTTCCACTCAAATCAACATTTAACTCCCATTTTGAAAGATGACAGAATAGGCTTTTCTACTCCCTGTGCAGGTGAATGCTTGGACTCAGAACTCAAAGGACTGAACGATTTTTAGGCATTTACACAGGGTCACTTCCCTGAAACGGTACTGCAATGTTTTGTTAATACTATCAAGTTCTTAAGAGGAACTGATTTCAAGCTAAGCTAAAAAAAAAACATTAAAGCAGATTTATCTACTACACTAAACCACAGTAAAACCTATTAAACTGAAACACAGTAAAACCACATAGAAGTCATACAACTAGGAAGTGGAAATATTTGAAATGGGTAAAGTGTTCATATGGAAGTCTTTTAAAAATGCACAGTACAAGATTCAGAAGAATAAATTATACTAATAGCTCATCATTAGAGTAGAAGCTGCTTTAATACAGACTTAAAAGAATATTAGAGTACCTGTTACACTTTCGACAGTGGTGTGAACGTGGTGCCTTGTAAGACTGACATACTTTACAGTATTGGAGATACATGCAATCCTGAGATTTTTCCTTTAAAGAGAAGAATAGGCGTGTTAGATACTTACACAATTCTACTGGCAATACATATCTTGGCACTTTCCTAACCTAAGCAACTTTGCTTTCTTCTAAAAGAGTGTGTTTCACAACCCAACCCTAGATAGTGGTAGGTGGCAAAGAGAGAAAAAGCCAAAAATGAAACAATCTCTTGGCGATCAATACAGCCATCTCCCACTGCTGAAAGTGCTGGTTCCTAAAAGAAATAAACAGTACTTCCATCAGGAAGAGTGACTGTACAAGCAGGGTTTCATAGTGCAGTTCTGACAGTAAAAAAACCAGCATGAAGCCTTTATAATTAAAAAAAAAAAAAAGCCTGTGCACCTTGTCTCTGCATTTTATACTTGAGCCAAGCTAGGCTCACTACTAAGCTACAGCACAGTTAAGCATTACTGTTCAGCTGGCTCTTGTTTGCCACCCTCTCTCTCCGATACATACACACACACCCCAACCACAGCAAGATGAGAGACAGACAGACTCGCAGATGGCAAGTAGTAATACTGGCCAAAATCTTCCATTCATGAATCAGGATACCCAGCTGTCCTGCTAGGACTACATCCTCTTCTCGCTAGACTCTGTCCTGAGAAATATTCCACAGGCAGAAATGTGGTTATTACTAATCTTTACACCATGCCACTGGAACAGGAACTCTGGCCAGCTGTCTCGAGATACTGAACCTGTATCATTCTGGTCCTTGCCTACTGCTCTTCCAAGAGATTACTGAAGCAAAGGAAACACAAGTTCGTACCTTGACTTATAATAATATGATGTTGAATATAAGATAAACATGTAATTTTCTAGCTCACATTAAAAAAAAATTAAATTTGCTAAAGGAAGTTCTCCTAATCCTTATTACTGGCGGCAAAGTCTTCAACACAACAGCGTCTGCCTGAGCGTGCAGATAACCTCGGAGTCCCCATTCCCGGCTAACAGCGCTCGTTTGCCGCCTGTGCAACACGACGAGCCCCGCCAGCGCCGCGGCACCCGTCCAGCCCCGCACCCCGGCGGCTGCCAGCCCAGCGAAGAGACGGAGCAAGCCGGAGCACGCTACAAACGCCGGAAAAAGCAGCGGCGAGAGGCGGAAAGCGAAGCTGTCGAACCCGGATAAGGAGAAAGGAGCGGCCGGAGGGGCTGGTGGCGTCCCTCGGGGAGAAGCGGGCGGCACCCCGAACCCCGCGGCTCCCACCGCCTTCCGACCCCACGCTCCTCTCCGGGA